CTGTACACCTGGGGTCCTAGAGCTGGAAGGAGAAGTGAATACATGTCCCCACTCTAATCCAGAAGTATCTCCAATTGACAACTTACAAATGAAAAAAAAAAAGTTTCCCCAAGGGAGTTTCACTGGGGAAACAAACTACTCTTAACAGTAGGCCACATGCCGAGGAGTAGATGGCTAAGAAAAAAACAAAGCCATCTGTGCTGCCTAGTTTCGTGTCAACTTGACACGAGCTGGAGTTATCTGAAGGGAGGGACCTCAACTGGGAAAATGCCTCCATAAGATTCTGCTGGGCCCTTCTCCATTGTGGGTGTTGTCATACCTGCACTGGCAGTCCTGGGTTCTATAAGAAAGCAGGGTGAGAAATCCATGGAGAGCAAGCCTGTAAGTAGCATCCCTGCATGGTTTCTGCATCAGCTCTTGCCTCCAGGTTGCTGCCCTCTTTGAGTTCCTGTCTTGACTTCTTTTTTTTTTTTTTTTTTTTTTTTTTTTTTCCAGACAGGGTTTCTCTGTGTAGCTTCGCGCCTTTCCTGGAACTCACTTGGTAGCCCAGGCTGGCCTCGAACTCACAGAGATCCGCCTGACTCTGCCTCTCGAGTGCTGGGATTAAAGGCGTGCACCACCACCGCCTGGCCTATCCTGACTTCTTTCAGTGATAGACTATGATGTGGAAGAGTAAGTCAAATAAACCCTTTCCTCTTCAAATTGCTTTGGTCATGGTGTTTCATCATAGCAATAGAAACCCTAACTAGCATATCTTTGGAGGTTCTTTGTCTCATAACGCTATGTCAAGACTTTTTCTTTTTTTCTGCTTCTCCCCTTCCCCCAGGTCTTTTGTGTATTTATTATGGCTTTCAGTTGTGTTTTTGTGGGATTTTTGTATTTGCAAATGTATGTCTCTGCATCTATATGAGTTTCTTCTGCTTGTTATTTGACCCTTTAATTTCTGTTTGTTTTGTCATAATTGTTTTTGTTTATTTATTGCTGGTTTTGTTATATAAATGTTATTTTACATTATTATACCTTAGTTGGCTGTTTGTTTTATAAAGAAAGACAGAAAGGGGTGGATCTGTATGGGAAGGCAGGTGGGGAGAAACTGGGAGGATTTGGAGTATGGGATACCATAACTAGAATATAGTGCATGAAAAAAATCTTATTTCAATAATTTGTTTTAAATCAGCTGTTTTGCAATGAGACCAATATTGAAAAGTTCAGTCTGTGCTTATAAAAGATAATAGAAGGTGTCCATCTCTGAAATAACATCAACAAAGAGCATGGGGAGTAACAAAATTTTACATTAAGAAGTAGAATTGAGAAATCTATATAGCTTGTATTGTTGTTGTTTGGCTCTTAATTATCATGCAAAGCTTAAGTGGTTAAGGTTTGGACCCCAATTTAATAGTCAGAAGCAGGGCATTGTGGAGGTCACCAGAATGTGAAGATTCTGACCTCATCAATTGGTTCATTCACTGAAATGTGAATAATTAAAGAGAATACTGCTAGTTTGTAGAAACTGTAGAATGTGTAACATGATTGTGGCAAGTGGGCTAATCATCTCCAGGTTCCTTTCTCTATTTTTGGTTCATGAAGTAAACAGCGTTGTTCCTATAAATCTTCCACCATGATTTGGGGCTGCACCGTAGCCTAAAAGCAATTCTGTCTTTTAGCCAAGAGCTGAAACTTCTGAAAGAATTTTATATGCTCCTTCTTCCTTTATTTTGTGATTTCGTCCCAACAAAGAAGCCTAACACTTTTATTTTTATTGTTTATAAAACATTCAGTGTCTATCTTTTATTCTGATTTCACCTTGTAGAACTCTATTATATTTAAGACATATCTGATGGATGTTCATAATAACACAAAATTGTACATTCCTTCTTTTGGGTTTCTTAGAGAATTCTTTAGGATCTGGACACAGACCAAAGCTTGATCCAAAAGGATTTTTTAATGGTTAGCATTGTAGAGATCTAGAGATGGTGTGGATACCAAGTTCCTAAAGGAAGCTAGGTACTTCAGAGGCCACACAAGGAGAAAATTACTGTATGAAGAAAAAGTTTAAATGAACTGGACTGTGCCATGGGAGAAGGTGAATCTTTTATGTGGCTCAAAGTCTGTTCCCACAGGGGAAACATAGAAGGATAAATCACTTCCCTCACTCCCATGAAGGAAACTATAGAAACGCACAATCAAAACAGTAATTTATTTAATGAGAAGTGAGATAAGTAACTCTTCAAGTAATAACTCTGTAACTTCTACCCTAGATAATAGCCCTTGCCAGGTATCAGTTTCACCCAGAGCCTCTTTTAAATCTGCTCTGCTGGGCATATAATGTTATACATTGAGGGAAAGGAATCATAGTAGAACTCTAGTTTTCGGAATTTCTATGGTGGTATCAGAGCTTTGAAAGGAAGATGATGGAGCAGAGGTAAGAAAGTCGCCAAAGCTTCCAAGTGTGCAGTTTCCTGTGGATAGTCAGAAATATTGAGGTAGATAATGTACACTAAAGCCAAATAAACAACAGAGCAAGACTATCCCAGCCTCACTATGCCCTACAGCCCTGTTTCCTCTTTAGATCTCATCTCCTTTCAGTTTCACCTAAGATTCAGAGCTTCCTTTCTGAAGTCCCTTACAAACTCATTTGAATGTGTCCCCAGAGGGGACACTGTTGCATGCATAGCCCTGCATTCTGCAAGGAACAGTTGAAGCCAAATGGTCCCCCCTGTTCATTGAGGGTATCAGTGAAGAACCTAGCATAAGTACAGAAGGAGTACAGGGATATAGCTCTGTGAAGGAGTTCTTGTCCTGGGTTCCATCTCCAGCACTGTAAAAGTAAACAAAAAAAGTGAAAGGATGTAATTTTTGCCGATCATTGAGGACTGCAGGAGAAGACAGTAGGTAAGGTAGGTAAGGACTGAATTATGAAATTACTTAAGATAATCCTGGGATTGTAAAATATTGAGTGGATTTTTGCTTAATCGCTGTATAAAGAACTTTTCTGTGTGGCTTTTGTTCATTTATTTTAGTTGTTTCTAGTCCCCACCTCTCTATTCCTTCATTTCATTTCCTCCTGTTTTCATATTACATGCATTTTATTAACTTCCCCACTCTCTCCCTTAGAAGTCTTTATTTTTACTCTCATAGGTTCCTTTCTAGTTTCCTGGCTGCTACACACATATACTCATACCTAAATACACACAGATACAGATGCACACACATGCACACACAGAGAGAGGAGGGGAAGGAGCTGGATTCACACAGGAGAACAATAGAGAACAAGCAATATCTCCTTTGGGGATTTGCTAACCTAACAATATTTTTCAAACTCCATCTATTTTTATGGTGAATAAAGTTCCATTATACAAATGTACCACATTTTTATTATCCTTCTATCAGCTGAAGAATGCTGAGGCTGTTTCTATGTACTGGATAGTATGACTATGGCAGCAATGAGCACTGATGTACAAAGGTCTCTGTGGTAAAATATAGAGACATTTGGGTATATGTATGAGTAGTAGAGCAGAGCTATATTGTAGTTCTCTATTTAGTTATTTGAGAAACTTCTGAACTGGCTTCCACAGTGAATGCTTCAGATTACATCACCAGTGAATAAGGGTTTTGCTTTTCTCATATCCTTGTCAACATTTGTTTTCTTGATGATAGCCATTTTTACTGGGGAAGAGATAGAATCTCAAACAGTCTAAATTTGCATCTTGATAAAGCTGATACAGTGTTTCTTTATCTTGAGCAGTTACTATTCCTAACATAGTTAATAATCTTATTGCTAAACTGGATCACATGGATCTTGACCAGAGCTACTGGAGGCAGGTCAAAGACTATATTTGTGTCACTCAAAGATCCAGAAAGTCAGGAGGTACCTATGTATCTTCTTTTTGATACAGTGTCTATGCAGATCAGGCTGGCCTTAAACTTCATATTTTCCCATCTTAGCTTCCCAAGTACTGCTTTACAAATGCATGCCATGTGCAGTTTTCTCTTCCCTATCCATAGTCTTATTGTATGGTGAGGCATGCATTGGTAAGTCCACTAATTGTGAGTTAAGGAAAAGATAAGGAGGTAGAGCTGGAAATATACATATCACAAATATCTAAATACTTTCTCAATCAAGATAAATTATCTTCATGGAGGTAGAAACTAAGACCATGCACTCTGCAAAAGGCATTTCAACTTAAAGAAAGAAATCTCTTATGTAACACATGGATAAAAATGAAGACATTTATACTGAAGCTAAGAAATTCCATTATGAGCCAGAAATTAGTATCTAAACACAAATTAAGGCCTTTAAAAGCAGTAAATTGAGATAAAGATATAGTAAGCTTCTATTCGCTTTATGTTCAACTGACACATCTTAATGATAAACGGTGCCTTTCTTTTTGGCTAAAAGGTTGCTCATGTTGGTTCTTCTGTTTCTATAGTGGTAAGGATTGAACTCAAAGTCATATACATGCTGAGTACCCACTACCACTGACCTACATCTCCAGACTTACTAAAGGGTTTTGTGAATAAGGAATTGCCTATAGTCCCACTTGGAGTATTTTTCTAAACTATCTTCCAATGAACAAACATTTATAGAAAAAGGTTTTTTTTATAGTCTTTCCCCTATATCTGCACACAACGAAATTCCTTTTGGATGACTCTAAATCTGTGGCTGTTAAATCCCTTCTATGAAGTGGTACAGCATTTGTGTAGAAGCTCCATATACTTCTGTATGTATTAAATAACTTTTAGGTAATATATTATATACTAATATAATATAAACACTATGGTAGTTTTATTGTGACTTTGAGAAACTGCAAGAAGAAACATATTTTAAATGAAGACATTATTCTAATATATTACTATAACATATTTTATAAATTGTATATATACATATACATTATACATACACAATATATATTATATATACATATATATTTGGGGATTTTTTCTTTTTGTTGGAGATATAGTTTTGCTACATAGCCAAGGCTGCCTCAAATTTGCGACCCTTCTGCTTCATTTACCACATTACTGCAATTAGGGAAATGTATTACCATGCCTGGCATGATTTGCTCTTCTTGTTTTAGTTTTTATTTTTGTTTTATTTTGTGTCTCTCTTCAAATTGCTGAAGATCAAAATTAAAGCCATCTGCACGATAGGCAACTGAAACACTTTGGATATGTCACCTATTAAATCCATAAAGTGTAGGACTCATTGTCCAATACTGTCTGTGGTACAGGAAATGTGGAATGAAAATGAACTAGAAAAGACACAGTTGCTTCAATATAAGGAAATTGAAGAAGAATGTAAACACGCATGGAAAATGTAAATGTATAATGGAGTTCTTGAATTGATCTTTGTGATTAAGAAATATTATGATGGAGCTAGAAGGATGGAGAGGACTCACAATACTCAAGTAACAATAGTGGGATTTCCTACAAAATATTTTCAAACTATCCTTTTGATCAAATAAAACAGGATAGTCTGGGGAAAGTATAAGGATAATAAAATATTGTCAAATTCTACATCCCATAATTGCCTATCTCAACATTTTCCTGGGATTTAAAGAGGCAATTACTACAAGGCAGAGGGAAGATGTCCAGAAAGCAGGTTCCTTCCCAGAAACTTTGTAGAGGAAATCAATTGCTATCAGCCAGGAAAGGTGCAATGGACAAGGCACTGCAGGAAGTGGTGGTGGAAACAGCAGTCTTGGGCAGTAAAGCAAATAAAAACATTGGGATAAGATACAATGCTTCATAAATGATTTTGAAATTCATGGTGTATTCTCATTGTAACTATGCTTGCTTCTTTCCAGGCAAAGACTGTAAATTATATGGAGCCAGAGAACTTAACAGCCACTTCAAAATTCATTCTTTTGGGACTTTCAAAAGAAAATGATATCCAGCCACTTCTATTTTGGCTGTTCCTGTTCATTTACTTGGTCTGCATCATAGGGAATCTGCTTATTATCCTGGCTATTGGCTCTGACTCCCACCTCTGGACTCCAATGTACTTCTTCCTCTCTAACTTATCTTTCACAGACATTTGTTTCATCTCCACCACAGTTCCTAAGATGCTAGTGAACATCCAGGCACAGAATAAATCCATCACCTATGAAGGCTGCGTTACCCAGATGTATTTTTTCATGTTTTTTTCTGGACTGGATAGTTTGTTACTGACCGTAATGGCCTATGACCGGTTTGTGGCCATATGTCACCCCTTGCGCTACATGATTATCATGAACCCTTACCTTTGTGGTCTTCTGCTGCTACTGTCTTGGCTAATCTGCCTGGCCTATTCATTGTTACAAACATTAATGTTTTTGAGGGTGTCTTTCTGCAAGAAAACAGAAATCCCCCACTATTTCTGTGAACTTGCTCAGATGCTCAAGCTTGCCTGCTCAGACACCCATGCCAATGACATCCTGCTGTACTGTGTAACTGGTTTGCTAGGTATTATTCCTCTGTCTGGGATTCTTTTCTCTTATTCTAAAATCATCAACTCCATAGTGGGCATTTCATCTGCTAGAGGGAAGTATAAAGCCTTTTCTACTTGTGGGTCTCATCTTTCCGTGGTCTCATTGTTCTACGGTGCAGGCCTTGGTGTCTACCTCACTTCTCAAACATCCTATAACTCCAGAGAGGGTTCAGTCACCTCAGTGATGTATACTGTGGTTGCTCCCATGCTCAACCCCTTCATCTACAGCCTGAGGAATAGGGATCTGAAGCAGGTTCTTAGAAGACTGTTTCATAGCACAGGAGATAGGTCTCAGTGTGATAATATAAAAAGGGATACATGAATCTAGAGTTTTGATGAATAGTGTATTCCTGCACACATTGCATTTTCCTGTATTCTTAAGACACAGAAAAGAAATACAACTCATGAAATACAAGACTAAAATATTCCAGGACCAAAGATAAACTTGAAACAAGAAACGTGAAACATGGCTAGCCAGTAACTACACCTCTTATGCAAACAATTTCAAGGATATATACTTACAAGTGTGTAGGGGGTCAAGTAGAAAATACAGCAAGTAAAAAGAGAGATAAGACATATACCTACACATCATTGCTCAACTCCTCTAAGTCATTGTTGTTTCCAACATAATGCTTAATGGGCAATGTTTTCTTTGGCCTCTGTCTGGAAAATAATTATACTAAGAATCTCTGTCTGTCTCTGTCTCTGTCTCTCTCTCTCTCACACACACACATTCACATATACTCAAATACACATATATGATATCATTATATATATACAGATATATATCAGCATATTACAATTGATATGAAATTAAAGTACAGAGTGCCTTCTAATCAGAAGGTGGAGGCAGAAAAATTAGGAATTCAAAGTCATCCTGAACTTCACAGTGGTAAATAAAACATAGAAAATAATTTGCTCAATATTGCTCTTGCCTAGACACACTTCTCAAAACTTCACATTTGGCTCCTTTTCAAAAACACGAAATAAAAGTTGAGTTGCACTTATGAACTTACGACAACTATTGTTACCTATGTAAGATCAAGCCAGTCAAAATTCCAGCACGGATGGGGGAGGGACTTGTGAGGCCCCACTTCAAAGTGAAGCGCTATTGGCAGTTTATGGAAAGTGGTAGTGGGGGCAGTCAGTCTTCATCTTTCCTTGGTTGTTTGGGAATTGGTAAGTTGCACATGCCTAGATGGCCCCACACCCATGGGCATGTGTGCAGCACAAGTGAAGGCAAGTGGTTATAAAATGAAACAAAACCTGAATATGTGAGGGGAACACGTAGGGGAGGATTTGGTGATGGGAATAAGAGGAGCTGAGGGTGGTCTAATCAAGATGTAACTTACAAATGTATCAAACTGTCAAATGAATAAAATATTTTAAAAAAGAAATTAAAAGTAGCTCCATACAAGGATTCTCCTGTACCAAACAGCTGATAGGACAAAGCATCTTTTATATATATCTTTAACTTCATAGGGAAATACTCTGGAACTTAGACCCTGTGGTAGTTTGAATGCAATTGGGTCCCATAAGCTCATAGGGAGTTATTAGGAGGGGTGGCTTTGTTGGGAGTAGGTGTGGTCTTGTTGGAGGAAGTGTGTCACTGTGGGGATAGGCTTTAAGGGCTCATATGCTCAAGATACTGTCCAGTGTTACAGTCCACTTCCTGTTGCCTTTTGATCAAGATGTAGCCAACACAACACCATGCTCCCTACCATGATGATAATGAACTGAACCTCTGAACTATAAGCTGCCAACTCATTAAAATGTTTTCTTTTATAAGAGTTGCTGTGGTCATAGTGTCTCTTCACAAGAATATAAACCCTAAGACAGACCCCAAAGCTGAAACCTACCCTGAATTGGCTTGAGGAATGCTGAACCACCCACTTGGTGAGAAGTGGGTATAGACTTGGTCGAATTCAAATGTTTTACTTGTAACTTTACCATTTATTAAAGAAATTCCTGTCTCTCAGCAAAATTATTAGATTGATTAAAGAATCAGTATTATGTGTCTAATACATAGATGCTTGGTAAATGGTAGGCATTTTTGTGAACACGGTGTTTATTTATCCTTCTATCTCATGTCAGTAAGAGGCAGGTCTAATGGCAGACCCTCCACTCCTGCAAGCTGTGCCCTGCTACGATACCCAAGAAGCACCTGAGAGTAAGACATAAACTGACTGGCTCTCAGGAAAACTTTTATTTAGTGCAATAAAATCTTACCTTTCATACACAGATCTCTTGGCATTGGTAACCTGGTCTGAAATTAGGGGTGGAGGTAGGAGCAAAATAATGTTTACTCTCATGAGCATGGATTGTTCACCTTGATTTTTATTTCCTGTTCTAGAAATTATTACTCTTCTATAATGTTTATGAACTAGGACTCTATAGGTATTTGAGGTCAGATCACTTTTCCAACCTGTGGTGCAGCCTTCCCTGAGTATTCTATATTTAGTTGTTTAACCCAGTATATTTTTATGACAATAACAGGGGTTCTCCCATTAAGTCATGGCCATTCACCCAAAATGTCTCTAGAGCACCCTCAGAGCAAAATCCCCTTTGGTAAGAACTACTGATCTATCAATCAGAAGTCAGAAAAAAGGACAAGTAGTAAAGGGATGTCTCAACAACAGAGACCTAAAACAGGGTACACTAAGCTATTGGCCTCTAGTCAGGAATCCTTACCTAGAGAAGGGCTGAGATTTAGAAGCAATGCCGAAGTGTTACAGAATTAATATGCCTTTCCAGAGAAAAATCACTCCAAGAATTTAAGAGATTAAGAAAGGAAAATTTCTTTAACAGTAGCATTTGACTGGTTCTGGCTAAAACATAAAAGGACCTATATGACAAGAACTTTAAGTCCCTGAAAAAAGAAATTGAAGAAGATGTCAGAAAATGGAAAGATCTCCCATGCTCATGGATAGGCAGGATTAACATAGTAAAAATGGCAATCTTACCAAAAGCAATCTACAGATTCAATGCAATCCCCATCAAAATACCAACACAATTCTTCACAGACCTGGAAAGAATAATACTCAACTTCATATGGAAAAACAAAAAACCCAGGATAGCCAAAAGAATCCTGTACAATAAAACAACATCTGGAGGCATCACGATCCTTGACCTCAAGCACTACTATAGAACTACAGTAATAAAAACAGCTTGGTACTGGCATAAAAACTGACATGTGGACCAATGGAATCGAATTGAAGACCCTGACATTAATCTGCAAACCTATGAACACATAATTTTTGACAAAGAAGCCAAAACTGTACAATGGAAAAAAGAAAGCATCTTCAACAAATGGTGCTGGCACAACTGAATATCAACACATAGAAGGCTGCAAATAGATCCATATCTATCACTGTGCACAAAACTTAAGTCCAAGTGGATCAAAGACCTCAACATAAATCCAGCTACTCTGAACCTTCTAGAAGAGAAAGTAGGAAGTAGTCTTGAACGCATTGGCATAGGAGATCACTTCCTAAATATAACACCAGTAGCACAGACACTGAGAGAAACAATCAATCAATGGGACCTCTTAAAACTGAGAAGCTTTTGCCGGGCGGTGGTGGTGCATGCCTTTAATCCCAGCACTCGGGAGGTAGAGCCAGGAGGATCTCTGTGAGTTCGAGGCCAGCCTGGGCTACCAAGTGAGTTCCAGGAAAAGGCACAAAGCTACACAGAGAAACCCTGTCTTGAAAAACAAGAAAAAGAAAAAAAAACTGAGAAGCTTTTGTAGAGCAAAGAATACAGTCAACAAGACAAAGCAACAGCCTACAGAATGGGAAAAGGTCTTCACCAACCCCACATCTGACAGAGGGCTGATATCCAGAATATATAAAGAACTCAAGAAATTAGACATCAAAATACCCAACAGTCCAATTAAGAAATGGGCTATAGAACTAAACAGAGAATTCTCAACAGAGGAAGCTCAAATGACTGAAAGACATTTAAGGAATTGCTCAACATCCCTAATCATCAGGGAAATGCAAATCAAAACGACTCTGAGATACCACCTTACACCTGTCATAATATCTAAGATCAAAAACATTGAAGACAGCTTATGGCGCTTTCTTAGAAAATTGGGAATCAATCTCCCCCAAGACCCAGCTATACCACTCTTGGGCATATACCCAAGGAATGAATGCTCAATCATACCACAAGGGTACTTGCTCAGCTATGTTCATAGCAGCATTGTTTGTAATAGCCAGAAACTGGAAACAACCTAGATGCCCTTCAACTAAAGAATGGATAAATAAAATGTGGTACATATACACAATGGAATACTACTCAGCAGAGAAAAACAATGACATCATGAGGTTTGCAGGCAAATGGATGGATCTAGAAAAAATCATCCTGAGTGAGGTAACCCAGACTCAGAAAGACAAACATGGTATGTACTCACTCATAGGAGGACACTAGATGTAAAACAAAGATGAATATACTGCTACTCACAACTCCAGGGAGGCTACCTACAATACAGGATCCTAAGAAAGACACAGGGATCGCCCAATGACAGAGAAATGGATGAGATCTACATGAACAACCTGGACGTGAGTGGGGGTAATGAAGGGCAAGGTTCAAGGGAAAGAGAGCTTAGGGGAGCGGGAGATCCTAGCTGGATCAAGAACAGAGAGGGAGAACAGGAAATAAGAGACCATGATAAATGAAGACCACATGAGAATAGTAAGAAGCAAAGTGCTAGAGAGGTCCACCGAAAGCCACAAAGATATCTCCACAATAGACTACTGGCAATGGTCGAGAGAAAGCCCGAACTGACCTACTCTGGTGATAGGATGGCCAAACACTCTGTCGTGCTAGAAATCTCATCCAATGACTGAGGAAACAGATGCAGAGATCCACGGCCAGGCCCCAGGTGGAGCTCCAGGAATCCAATTGGCGAGAAAGAGGAGGGTTTGTATGAGCGAGAATTATTGAGACCAAGATTGGAAAAAGCACAGGGACAAATAGCCAAACTAGTGGAAACACATGAACTATGAACCAATAGCTGAGGAGCCCCCAGCTGGATCCAGCTCTCTGGATAAGTGAGACAGTTGATTAGCTTGATCTGTTTGTGAGGCATCCAGGCAGTGGGACCTGGATCTGTCCTCAGTGCATGAGCTGGCTGTTTGGAACCTGGGGCTTATACAGGGACACTTTGCTCAGCCTGGGAGGAGGGGACTGGACCTGCCTAGACTGAATCTACCAGGTTGAGCTGAATCCCCAGGGGAGTCCTTGCCCTGGAGGAGATGGGAATGGGGGGATGGGCTGGGGGGGGAGGCGGGGGGGGGGGACGGACAAGGGAATCCGTGGCTGATATGTAAAATTAAATTAAATTATAAAATAAAAAAATTATAAAAAAAAGGAAACCAGTTTTGAACAGAAAAATTTATCAGCATATATAGGTCTTAAGGTTACATGTTCCATATATGAAATCATCTGTACATCTCTTAGGTCTCAGACCCATGTTTTACTTTGAACAGAGCCGTTTAAATAGAAATAGTGTCTGCTTGGCCAGATGGAACACTTACACAGCAAAGATAGTACATAATTACTTCTGAAGTACACCAGTGCTGTTCTTTTCAAATAGTTGATATCTACAGTCACCCTGCCTTCCTACCTGGCAGAATTATGGTTTTTTTGAACCAGGATATAATGGCAGACCAAGACTTAAATCATCTTGCACTGCCCTCTTAAGCTGTCCCTTGCAGGCATGATCTCTGATTTGGGGACGACTGGAAATCAGACTTGTCTCCTCCTATTCTGATAATGGAGATCCACTGGAGGTCAATGCTAGTGAAAAAACATTAGCTGAGACATTTTCTTAGCAATTCCAAACTTTTCCTACACTTTCTAAAAACCCTGGTGAGTACAATACTTATCTTCCAGTCATATGGAGGCATCTTTTAGTTAAATTCTACTTTTTGTAACAGTATTTGCTAAGCAAGATTTTTTCCTTTATTGAATTTTTTTCATATAATATATTCAGATTACCATTTTGCCTCCCTCTAATTCTCCCAATTCCTCCCCACCTTCCCTCCCGCCTGAATACACCCACTTTGTGTCTCACATTAGAAAGCAGGCTTCTAAGCAATGATGATATAATAATATAAAAATTGTGGAATAGGACAAAACAAATAAACAGAAAGAAAAGAGTCCAAGAAAAAGGCACAAGAAACAGATACAGATTCAGAGATCCACTCATTATACACTCAGGAATCCCATAAAAATACAAAACCGGACCGGAAGTGATATATATATACACGACTTTTAACTTTACAGGTATACATATATGCATACCTGTAAAGTTAAAAGAGAGAGAGAGAGAGAGAGAGAGAGAGAGAGAGAGAGAGAGAGAGAGAGAGAGAGAGAGAAAATACAATTAAAAAATAAGGAAGAAGAAAAAGCCCTGACAGGATATTGTGAGACAAAGAACTTCCAAATGTGTAGCTGTTTTCTCTTTCAAAAGTATCACTCAGACAGTACTTGGGGCTTGTCAATTTATTTTGCTCCAGAAGTAAAGATAAATCAATAAATCAAGAACATTTACTAAAGATCTTCTGTGATCTTTCAGGCATGAACTGGTTAATGTGAGGATCTCAATGGCTTTACCAAGAATTTCATCTTATAAAAAAAGGGGCCCTGGTCTCCTAGACAATTCTATCTACCTGCTTAGAATCATAAGCCAAGTTTCCTTCCACTATAAACTGTTTCCTTCGCATTTCTAGGATGATCTATGTGGCAGTCTCCAAATTCTGGACTCTAATTAAGTGTTTGTGCAGATCTGTTCATCCTGCCTGTGAGCTACACCAGAGCATCATGTGAATCTACTGGAGGAAATTAAAAAAGGATAGAAAAGAAAACCAGTATGCTGAAATTTGCCTTTGAGTCCTCACAGAAAAACATGGTCTGAGGTATTTCATAACAAAAGCCACAAAGAAGCATGATCTGCTTGTACTCAAGCAAATGATTGGTTGGCTAGGGAACAATGGGGAGGGAAAATAGGCAAATCACAAAATGTTTTTGAGACTATCCTGATGATAGTGATGGTTTTATGGGCATAGAGACCTTAAAACTTAACAAATTATACACTTTAAATATATGCAATCTCTTATATGCCAAAGGCATCTCAGTAAAACTATTCACTCTCACTCGGATTTTCATAATGTAAACAAGATGGTTTGTGGTACACTGCACAAAGAAGAGCTACCACAGGGCTGGGGATAGTGCTTCCTTCACGCTTGAAACTGGGTTAGATCTCTAGCACTGTGTGATTGGGCA